TTCCGTATCCGGAGTAAACTACGGTGGTCCATTTTTACTGCGTGACAGGAAAGGTCATAATTACAAATCCACCAAAGCATATATTTCCCTTTTTGTGTGCTTTTCAAGTAAAGCGATCCATTTGCAGGTTGTCAGTGACCTTACTATCGAATGCTTTCTAGCAGCATTATGACGTTGCATGGCGGTAAATGCTCAAAAATAGTTTCTGACAACGGCACTGCGTTTGTGGGTGCCAGTAATGAAATAAGAAATTTTCTTGTTCAGCACAATGACACTTCCAGGCGAAGGAATTCATTGGAGCTTCATTCCTCCACGTGCGCCACATTTTGGTGGTCTTTGGGAGTCAGACGTCAAATATCATTTGAAATGTGTAATAGGTAACAGCGCCTTAACTTATGAAGAATTTTGCACGGTTTTATATCAAATAGAAGCTTGTCTCAATTCAAGGCCACTGTACGCACTTTCGCAAGATCCTAATGACGTCAACTCTCTCACTCCCGGACATCTGCTAATTGGAGAATCATTGACTGCCTTGTCAGACCACGACTTTGTTGGAGTCAAAGAAAATTGCCTATCCAGGTTCCATCGAATGCAACAACTCCTGCAGCACTTTTGGTCAAGGTGGTCAAAAGAATACATATCATATCTTCAGCAACGTGTGAAATGGAAAAAACACTGAGAACAATCATTGAAAATTGGCACTTTGATGATTGTTAAAGATGATGGACTTGCTCCTCTAAAGTGGCAATTGGGGAGAATTCTACAAACACATGCTGGAAATTACAATATTATCCGATCTGTGACGATTAAGACGGTATCAAGTGAAATTAAACGTCCAGTGGTGAAAATTTGTGTTTTACTTAATCAAAATGAACACTAGAAAGGGGACTATAAATTATTGTTAACTTTTGAATTTTTTAGTTTAAATTTTGAAATAGTAGTCCATGTTTCACAGTGAAGAGAATAGTTAAAGAACTGGAGTGAAACAAACAGTCTATCTTCACTCTTTATTTTACAAAAATAATCAGTTGGAAGGGGGGTCCACCAATGACAGGATGTATTCTGTGACATCGTGGGTGAAATTGTGGAATATCAGAAGGTTGTTAACAAGTTGTAAGCAATCATCTGGAGGTACACTAGGAAAAAGGTTGGTGACATCAAAAGACGCGAGAATCGCATTGTCAGGGATGAATATGTCCTTAACTAAAGATGTCAAGTGTTTGGAATTTTGTTGAGTTTAAAATAAAAGAATTTAAGAATTTTGACAATTTGGCGCAGGCGGAGTTGAAATAAGAAACCACTGGTCTTATGGGTATGTTTGGTTTGTGTATCTTTGGGAGGCCATACAAAAGGGGTGTACTAGGATTCATTAAATTGAGTTTGTACTTATTAGTACCAAGTTCCAGAAGTATGTCATTTCGATCATTGAGATGTTTTCTTAATTGGGTTATGAATTTTTGGGTGGGGTTATTATTAAGCAGGGAAAAATCACCATTCTCAAGGAAATTGGTTACTTTGTCAACGTAAGCATCTCTGTCTAGAATTACTATGCAATTGCCCTTATCAGCCTTGGAAATGACTAAGTTTTTATTCTTTATGTTGGTTTTTAACAATTTGAGGGATTTATTGAGAGAACTGTTTTCTTCATTATCTGTGTGATCATTATGGTTGTAGGAATCATTCAAGAGAACCGAAATTCTGGATGAAATCATGTCAGGGTCATCAATTCCAGAAGCCTCTAAAGTGTTTTGGCATTTGACAGCAAGCATTTCAAGATCACTAGAGTTAGTGCCTTTGTAGAAGTTGAATTTAAGACCAAGAGATAGCAAATTTTCTTCTTTAGTGGAGAAGTTAACAACAACAATGTCTAACCACACTCTTTTACTCTTTCTCTTTTAAGATTTCTTCTCCTTGGATTCAGTCCTGGGCGCCGCCATCTATATACCTGTCATAGCGGTACCACACTAGTTTTTGTAGGGTGCCCTGGTAGACAAATTCAACCACCGCTTGCACCTTTCTCTGTTCGTGTTGGGTGACGCTACCTACCAAAGTATAATTCCTTTGAAAATGTAATATTTAATAGTCGAACTCTGATTATTCCTTTTGTAATGCTATTATTTCAATTTAATTTAGTTTAATTTATCACACTTATTGCTTACAACATATTTTATTGTTTTTGGATGTGTAACTCAGTATCCAACTATGATTGTTTGGCCTTTGGTCGTAAGAGGGAGCTACTTGGTTTGATTTCTGGAATTGTCAAGGTTTTTATGCAGCAAATTTTACTAATTTCCTGCCACCATCTTCTTCCTCATCTCCATTACATTCTTACTCCTGAGTGTCTAGAATTCCGCCTCCTATAGGCATATTCTGTGTTTGTGTGGCAGTTCTATTTTCCAATGTTAATAAATTAATTTTTTCAATCTTCACCTTTGGTAAGTTGAAACTTTGACGTAATTTTTGAAATCGTACTTATAAGCTTCCTCTATTCCAGTTTTGTAAATATGTTCTGTGTTGGATGCGGCTTAAGCCACCAACTTTATGCTGATAACAGCATGAACACTTATATTTTTATGTATAATTATTATACTTAGGCTGTCGTATATGACCATATTTTCCCTGTGCCATTTGGTAAGTTTTTGATGTATACACCCCAGGCCCTCCCCATAACTCCCATATTTTTGTAACTTGTAGAACTTATGCTGATGATGGATCTATGATAGATCCGAAACATGTACAACCCCCCTTCCAACTGATTATTTTTGTAAAATAAAGAGTGAAGATAGACTGTGTGTTTTACTCCAGTTCTTTTTAGTTTATTTTGAAACCCTGAGGACTTTCAAGGGCGGGGGGCTTATGTTGTGTCATTACACTCATTACGGACCTGTGTATATCCCCACAAACGCACAAGTTTGATGAACGACGCTCGAAGAAAACATCAGCTGTGTCGAGGCCCTTTTCTCTACCCTCTCTACACTTGATTTTGATACCTGCTGTGACAGGGAACATACCACCTCGGCGAAAAACACGCCATTTTGTACATTTATTTTCTTTTCTGAATGTTACTTAACGTGAAATTCTCAAAATCTTCCACCTACAGCACAACACACCTGTCCTGTTAAGAACTGAAGATTACAACCAGAAAATTCAGAAACTCCTTGATCCATCCACCTACCGAAAGCTAAAAAAGGATCCCACACAAGCCATACTCTGGAACACCAAAAAACTGACAGTAGATGACCTCTACCCTAACAGACACGGTTAAGAAAAGCATCATGAAAACGGAAGCGGTTCCACCACGACTTTACAACTTACCCAAAATTCACAAACCTAAAGTTCCGCTAAAAACTATACTGAGTGCACCTGCAGCACTAACACATAACCTAGCGAAACATCTTGCATCGCTTCTTCAACCGCATGCAGAAAAAACTAGCGTCAAAGACTCCACTCACTTCGTCCAGAAAATTAGGGTTATTATCCTCCAACCTGAGGATATCCTGGGTGAGTTTTGATGTCGTATCTCTATTCACAAAAGTGCCATTGACGGAATTTCTCGATATGATATCAAGTACCTTCTCCAATGACATAGTTGAGCTTTTCCGGACATGTCTCACTGGTAGATACTTCCTGTGAAACGGCGATTTCCACGAGCAAACGGACGGTCTAGCTATGGGAAGTCCCCTCAGCCCAGTCGTAGCCAATTTCTTTATGAAGGATTTCGAGAGGAAAGTTTTCGAATCTTTTGACCACAAACCAACAGTATGGCTTCGATACGTAGATGATACCTTTGGGATTTAGAGTCATAGGGAAGAAAAGCTTAACCAGTTCCTAGGCCACCTGAACGTGCAATATCCGAGCATACAATTTACCATGGAAAAGAAGAAAACCCAAGAAATTGCCTTCTTAGATGTACTCATAAAGCAATCTGGAGGAAAACTAAGCCACACAGTGTACCAAAAACCCACACACACAGACAGGTACCTGCATGCACTCTCAAATCACAATCCAAGACAAAAACGTGGAATTATAACAATTTTAACAGAACGTGCTCGGAACATCTGCAAGTCACAATATATCGGGCAAGAACTTGATCATTTCAAGTGGGCCTTTCTATCAAATGGATACAATCCATCTGAAATCGATAGGGCCATGTGACCCAAAACTGCCACACGACAAAACGTGGATGAACAACCACTGGTGGCTAATGCATATCTGCCTTACATTTCTCGGGTGACAGACAGGATAGGGAAAATCTTGAAGAAACACAACATAAAACCGATCTTCAAGCTAACAAGGAAAATACAGCAATCAATCCGATCAGCCAAGGATAAGAGGAACCCACTGTCAAGCGCTGGAGTCTATCGTATAGGTAGTATGCATATGTGGTAAGGAATACATAAGAACAACAAAAAAATCCATGGGAACCAGCCAATAAACAAACTGCAGACTAGGACAATCGGAAAAATTAGCAGTAGCGGAACATGCCCTTAGTAAAGGGAATCACGAAATACTGTTTGGTGGAGTCAAGCTTTTTGCACCGACTTCCAGATACCAAAATCGTCTTGTATCTGAAGCTATAGAAATCCATAAACATAACGGAGAACTTCAACAGGAAAGAAGATATACTTAAGCTTAACCAAATCTGGAATCCGATCCTCAAAAACGCAAGAAAGATCCCACTGAGTACAGAGAAAGTTCTGATTAGCCACGTGCTGCAAAGCCTCGCCCATTTCCCACCACAACCATTCACACATAAATACAACTTACGGTCGGGAACGCATCAGTCTGCTATTAAGATGCTGAAGATGCTATCCACGCGTGCTAGCAAAACGTCAGGAAGAAATTTCGATTTACGACGGTCATTAAGCCCGAATGAAAACACTCAAAAAAAGAATAATATGTCGCAGAACCTCACTAGCTATACTACTATTAATGATAGTCATATAACTAAGTAGTAGTATAGCTGAAACGGTCCTGACACAAAATATAAAAATTCTTACCATTACTATGTCCAGGTCCAGATTCAGGACTAGAAGGTGGCGTGAGCGTACTAGGATTCCTAGTGACAAGCCGCAGCTGTAAAGTGTCGCCGTTTTGGTGGTACGAGTCGTCATCTTCTTCTTCTTCCTCGTCGTCGATGTGCTCTTGCTTGACCAAAACTGCGCAGCTGAGAGCACCGTCCCAGGACATCGGCGAGCTGGCGCTGCTCAGTCCGTCGAGCCGGTGATCGCCGAAATCCTCGATGAACCAGCCGCACCTCGAGCCGTCCGACGGTATTTTTTTGAAAGTTTGAATCTTGGGCTCATCCCTAAGGTACCGTTCCATTTCGTAGCATGTCTGAAAATCGAATAAAATTGTTTATATTGGTCGGACGTAAAACTTAAATCTAGACGTTTCGTTATAATGCTTTTGTTTATGGGCTCCGTTTTCTTACACAATATGCTACTTTATGTCAGCTAATTCACATTAACGGCTTCGCCCGTAAAAACGGCTAGTAAATTATGGGATTTATATAGTGCCGGGGGAAAAAGCCGAGCTGATTTGATCGAGGAAAGTAATAAGGTTAAATGAATTGTTTTAGCTGTTTTTGAGTTTTAAGAAGTTCAAGACCAAAGTAACGATTTAAAGATAGCTTTAGGACACGGATTGTCACAATGTCTTCCATTTTTATTATTAGAGGTTCCGATAAAGTTGTAAAATTAATTTGAACTTAGGATTCACGACAGAAACTGTTTTATAATGGTCGCAAGGCCACCGATATGGATAGCCAGATCTAGATTTTGATGAACATCATGCTAGATCTTAAATGAGGTGAAGCCGAAACGGGAGCAATGGTTCTTAATTTTTTGACATGATCTCATTGGGCCTGGCTATCCGTTTCTCATGTGTGCGTCCGCATTTTTACAACAAATAGCAAATCGCTGCGTTTATAGACATACCGCGGTTATCGGGAAACAATTAAAGTGTTTAAAAGGCAAATAAAGCTTTTTAGAGGAATTTATAGCTTCCAGACTTCAACCACCCATCTACAAATGGTACAAGAACTCTATCGTTTTAATACTGATGTCTCAAATCCACCTTTGTCATGAGTATCGTCACTATACTACTAAGAATTTGAATGAACTCAGTCAATATAAAATTGCAAAAACAGAATGTAGGGTCTTCACTAACTACTAATATTTTGTTTGTGGAATAACTGCTGATTTCACGAAAAATTGCCGGTGTACGTTAAACTCTCATTTACATTACAGTGTAGATGCAACTACATATTGGTAAACATGAAATTTACAATGTATAGAGATGGGCATTAAAATCACCAGATTTCAGCTCCTTAGACTATTTTCTTTAGAAACGAAAACGTGTGTATCGTATCCCCATATATATATTTCGTGAAATACGAGGCAGCGCATTGTGAAATTATTATTATTATTTTTTTGATTGAGAAATTGCGTATGTATAGCACGAAAATCATTCCGGAGGGTTCTAATTCCAGCGACAGGATGCGTAGAGTTTATTGAAATGGGTAAATAATTGTCCCCGAACGTATTAGGACCTGTATATTGATATTCATAGCTTGTCGTAGATGCGAAAGGAGAAGAGAGGCAAAAAGCCGTTTGACGTGCTTCTTCCTCGAATACTGAAGGGAGAATTATATTATTCTACCTGACGTGTTTCGGAAATCGATAGACCAGTTTCAGAATCAAGAAGCGTAATTTTTTGTATGACAAATATTCGAATGTCTCAAAGGAACAAACAAAATATTTTCAAATTAATTATCTAACCAACAATCCCATATGCATTTTAAAACCCCTAATTTTCCTCCATTCTCCGTCCCTTCTCTTCTATAACGATAGCGTAATCGGTCACGCACACAAAAGATAAACTTTCCATTTCCAATTGGAAATGATGGAGGAACGTTATTAATCGGAAAGGATTTTACGCGGCAATGGAGAGGACTAGGACTCTTCAAGATTAATAGCGACACACCAATCATTCGTCGTTTATTGCCCCTTCTGGACCCAGGGAGATATAGAAAACAAAGCAATAAGTCCTCCCGTTGTAATGAATCGACGCGAATTTGTCCCGAGGACACTTTATTGAAACAGGAATTTGTCACGTTTATTTTAACTAAATTTAAATTCCTTTTTTTGGCACAAAGAACATCCAGCCCTGGACTTTGAATCCCTTGGCGCTCGTATATTTCCAGTTCCCGGCGTCTTCCCGCGGGACCTAGAGTGCCTTTTTCATAGGTGTCACATTTTCGGGGGTTTAATGCGTTGCTTTATATGCACTGGTCGATTTATTACAAAAAACGATTAATACTCATCGATTTTCCCCTGTCGTTTCTTCATAAATAAAATTGCTTGTTGTTAAGTAGGTACACATATCGCTTGATTACCTTTGGGAAATTTTCTTCAAAAGCTTCTCAATCATTTAATATTTGCTATCAAGCCTATATGAAATCCGAATAGGGCCGAACAAGAGAGAACAATTCTCTGCTCTATAAATAGAGCTTAATTACCAGTGGAGGCACAGTACAATAGCCTTTGATCTGAATAAATTGTCATTGTCATGGGACAATCAATTTGAAAAAAGTAAACCTATTTCGGACCAAATTATTGTGTTCATAGTTATTGTTTTAGAAATACCAGCATTAATGGACAATAATTCAGTTATACCTAAACCCCTTTTGAAAAGTTTGTCGGGCCGAGGTCTCTGATACGGAACGCCGAGGCACTCTTGTATTAGAACTGATTAGAAACGGATTGCTTTTGGGGAAGGCTTTTAACTAACCGAAAGGCTACTTCGGTAGGATTTAAATTCGATTTTCTCTTAATACGTTTTGGATGGGCTTCATTTTATATCGAACTAAAGTAATAATAGGGATTCTTTATTGGTTGAAATTAGTTTGTTAGAAACTTCTAAACTATACTACTAATATTAGGCCCGAGAAATAATTTTCCAATACATTTCCTTTCAACCCTTTTCATTCTATAGTTAAAAGATTTATCGCTCTCGGACCGCATGCCGTTTTGTAGCGATCCCTTATTTCCCCTTTTCGGCCGATATCCCGTAATCCCGGGATTAGGTCCTGTCTGCCAAAATTCACATTGTCGATCGGGTACAAAAAGGTCTCACGGCCGCGGCAAAAAAGCCTCTAATCAATCCCTTGAAAGACTTTCGGTTTTTGTCTACAATCTAGTTGCTGTATCGCGTCGTCGAGGAATTTACTTCTATTAAGGACAAATTTGCTGATGATTGAAAGGCACTTCGGAGATATTTCCCAAGAGTATTGTACTTAATTTTATACGCTTTTTGTTCTGAAACATCTTCCCTAGCAGGACGAATTGAACGATCTCAAAGGGTTGATTGTCAACCTAAAACTGTTTCTTGAAAATACAACAATCATCATCAGAAAGGTCACAAAAGTATTTCAATATAAACAAAATCCAGTTAAGTAAAAGAATAAAATTAAAAATCCTTTTTGTTTTTCCTTGTTAAACGGTTAAACTCGAGAAAATTGTTGTTGCCTCGAGGGATTTTCCCCAAGTCCATACATACCAAAAAAGGAATTGAAAAATTAAATAAGATTTTTAGCAAACATAGACATTCTTTTGTCGAAAGCTGGAAATTCAATTCCGGCGTTGTTTAACTAGAAAATAGTTTCACGCAGTTATAGGCTCGTTGCGCGGCTGCAAAATTAATCTAGAAATTTTTAAATTAAAATAAATGCCAGAGGTCAGACGGAAACACAAAAGAAATCATTTTAATTTAAATAACTCCGGATTAGTTACACTCGCTTGCCACAGGTGAAGCTCAAAAAATTCCAGGATTTTTATTTTTATAAAAATTGTTTTAAATGAATTGAAATTTTTATTATTTTACTTGCAGAAACAAATGTGTATCATGTATCACCCTCAAAAATCATTCAGGTGTTGTACGAAATAATACGGTGTTTACTCGGAACACAAACCACCGATTGTGAACCGCAATTGAATCAAATTGATCTATTGTTGTGTCTATTGGTCGATATCGCATGCTATATTTGGCTCAAATTTGTTGATCAGCATGTCTATCTTATTATAAGAAAAACTTATGATTTCATTCATCAGCTCACAAAATCGGGATTGTTCAGCTTATAAGTGGTAAAGTAGAGAATTCTGCAAAAAGCTTTGGCTGTTACGATAAATTTGTCATTTACGTAACATGTTCCATTTCTTCTTATTTTCATTATAAAGTATTTTTATTTATTTTTTTTTTTTTATTTCAGAATCAGCAAAATAAATTCCTAATATTCTAAAAATATCCACAAAGGCTAGCGCGTTCCTACTCCTTATGTCTTTACCTGCTCTAAGTTTAAAATACTATTCCGTACACCTGGCGACATCTATGTTTTATCTGATTAGTTTCCTAACCTAATAACGAAAATTATGTTATTGAGAGATGCGTTCGGCTTGCTCACTCCGTACACTTCGAGTGACTCCATTCGCACTTCAGCTATTCGGGTACTGCTTTTTACCATATTGCGGGTGGTATTAGTTTTGTTCACTCTACTCCAACTCCGAACTCCGTCATTTTTATCATTTCGACAGGCTGAACAGAGGAAGAAAGACAACAGAACCACGGGGGTACTTTGGACTTTTCTTCCGATTTTATAAGCCGCTTTCGGGTGCACAGTGCGAAGCTCCTGGAACACTTCACACCTGTCAGTGACCTGTCATTCTCCATGCGTACTTCTGAGTAACTCGGGAGCGCTCAAAAGGTGGCACCCGAAAGCAGCTATAGTTAGACTGAAAAGGTCGTCTCTGGAAAATCCAAAAACTTTGGTTTTCATTCTTGGCCATCGAGCCCAAAATCATATTAATTTAACTAGCCAGAGTAGTGAGTGATTATGTCAGCTGGAACGTTTCCTGAAAAATCAATAGATGGTTGATTTTTGTGTAAATTTTTGAAAGTGAGGTTAATTATCGGCCGTTGAGGCAATTTTGGAGAGTATTAAAAATCCACGCCTACACTTCTGGGTGAAAATTTGACAAGTTTGAGACCATGCGGTATTGCATTTCCAAAGCAAGTCTGGGCCCCCTCTACAAGGAAAGTTGTGTCCTGTAAGAGATTGATCCCCGACCATTGATTGATTGCCTTCCGTCAGTTTGGTGCTTCTGGATGTCAAATTTATGAAAATTTCCAAGGATTTCGTCCAGGCTTGTATAATTACTTACCTATGGGTCCCGTAACTGTGCCTTATTAATTACTATTACCTTATATTATCTCTTTTCTACCGCTCCCTATCGATTAGCTTTATTAGCTAATAATTATCTTTACAA